TTTTATGTAAAATACTAACTATGCCATAAAATATATTGTTTTGTGTACAATATTTATCAAAGACGAAAAAGTGAAGATTCCTTTACAGAGTACTTCTGTGACTGCAAGAAGCAAGAAACAATAACTACATCATATTCTTTGTAGTAATAGCTTTGAGTAGTATGAACCAGGCTCCATGACTTTGGCTCCCAGCAAATTTGAGAAATCACCATCAACTGAGAAAGCATTGAGAAACTGATGTAAGCCTGCTAAATGATATGCTCCTGAGTCCTAAATCATGGCGTAGCATATTGCAGCAATTGTGGAAATACCTAATTTATACCTTAGTGTAAAAAATAGCTTTCTAGTCATCAATTTGTACCGACTCCTGGTTCAATGAAGCTTACCGCCTCGGTGGTGACGGTCGAGATGGCGAACAGACGGGGGGCGATGGGCATGATGGCGAGGCTCCTTAGAATTTGTATATGTTTTGCTTTTTGTAGAATGTAATGGGGGCCCTTTGCGGGACTGAATGTATATACTTTTTTGTCACAATGTATGAATCACACTGTTGCTGTTGATTCTTTTTGTGTGATTCTTTGTTTTTCGGAACTTCACCTTCGTAGAGCTGGTATCTGTCTGTTTGTAGAGGATTCGTCGCCTCTCTGGGTAACGCCGAAGTGGTACAGGCGGTCTCGGGGGTGGTCCCCTGGGGCTAACCGCCGTCGTAGATAAGCGAAACCCGATCTTAGTGAATAAATAAGACGAAATTTTAACCGTTGTTTGAATGTTGTTCGTCGTAATCGAGCTTGACTGACGCTTAATGGCGATGGCTTTTGCCAATAGGATGTAACTTCAACTGTCATTGAAGTGTTATCCGTCGTCGCGATCTGTAAAATTTCAATGCTAAAGCGTGTTTTAGTGACGCTTCTTCTGCTGATTTTGTGTGGGAATCTAAGCTGCCTTTGAATTTTCTTGAAAGATAGAATTTGTTTGATAGGAAAATAAGAAAGGTTATGTTGAAAATGATTGAACAAAATTTAGGTGAAATGGGTTTGTCTATTTTAAAGGAAATACCTATGGCATATGCGTTTTCTGATAAAAAATTTTGTATAATTGTTGAGATAGGAACAGATAATCTGAAGTTTTATATTTTGTTTTAAAGTTGAGTTTTAATATCATCTTTTATTTTTCTGTTTCACTTTGCTCTATAAGTGTTTGACAAAATTCTTCAATGAATCAGGCCTTTGACTAGACTTTTATTATTATCTATCGATTAGTTTGTTGCTTTCCATAGAAAGAAGGGGCTGGTAATTTGAGTTTAGGTATATCATGGGGTTTGACGATTCCATATTCCGCCAATTGGTTTGCAGATGTGCTTGATATTAAGAATTCATTTCATGGTTCGGCAGTAAACTCTTGTTTCATCTTCTGTCACTTGACAGAGTGAGTAATGAATTTGGTTTCACTGTAATCTATGAGATTGTTCAAAATTATTTAAGCTCTTCCTTGCTTTGATACCAATTTCGCTGCTCCTTTTTATTTATCCTTTAATAGAAATTATCTGTACTGTACCTTCTCCTTCAAAGTTGGATTATATGGATCTCATTGGTGTTTTTTTTGGGCTTCCCAGGGTTATCATTATTGAAGTATTTGCTTAAATGTCTTTTTGGTACTTGGTTGGTTAATGTTGCGCACCCCATGCATCTCTAATTGAGGGTTTTATTTTTCAAATTTCTCAATTTTAGTTCCAAGTTGTCTGTGTTGTGCCCTTTATTTTGTTCAACTAATAGCATTGAAGCCATAGCCAAGAAAGGTGGGAAGTTTAGAGATATGGTGAAGTCTCTCTCCAATAAGTCTTCTGTTTGTAGGCGAATTGAACTTTGAATGCTTGTACAAAAAAATAAAAAAATAAACTTTGGATGCCAATTGAATAGAAAATCTATAAATCTGTTGGAACCAAATTTTGTGCAGAAAGGCCTTCTTAGTTCTTCCAAGTCTGTAGGGGCAAAAACGAACAATGATAAAAATTGGATATTTATTACTTCAACTACTAACACATTAAATATCCATATTTCACAACAACATTTAGTTGATAGCCCTGTGTCAAGTTTCAAAATTACCTGAGCAATCAAGTGAGGCCATAAGGATTGAACAGAACTTACAGTCTGCAACTTTTATGGTCGTTATGAAGTTCAGATATTCTTATTTATATACAATTGATCAGAAGAAATGACAGCAAAAGTTGTTTTGGTAAATTTAGACCACACATTTAAATCAGTTAAAGTTGTGAGCTAACGTTTATTGAAACAGTATAATAAGAAAAATTAGGTAGTTTCTTTCAGGCAATTTCTCAAACACTTCTAGTGCAAACCCAAATGCAGTTTGTATAATAACAGACTCAAATCCATTCTTACTGCACTTTGATAGAGGTCAAACAGATGAAAATTAAGACTAAACCCGAAAAAGAGCAAGTTGAAGACGCACAAAAGCGAGCGCAACAACATATCACCAATTAGCTTAAAATTTTAGACAAAAGTACTCAAAATCTTCTATCCAAGTTCAAAATATGAGAAGGAAACATTGTTTAGACTGAAAACAAACTGAATCTTAAATCTAAATAGCGTTGATAGTCAGACATTTATTGTATATGCGCTAGATCAAAAAAAGGTAGTCCACATATGTGCAAGTGGTAAACTGAACTCGGAGATGTCAGAATTTCCCAACGGAGCAGCAGTGGTAACGATGAGAGTAAGCAGAGAGCAGTATAGCGACATAAATTTTATGTTGTAGTAACCACGTGTCAAACATAGAAGAAAGCGGTAATACGTGTCTATCAGGGCTAATGTATGCAATTATGATAATACCTTCCTGACCATTTTACAACCGGATGCAGCTAACTTAAGATCTGTCAAACTGTGCTCCACGTGTTAGGCTGTAATGCAATTACATTTTTATTCTTGGGTCAGGCAAACATGTTGACCATGAGCTGCCTGGTTATTCCCATTTATAGTATAGGAATAGATTTGATAATTAATCACTTGCTATCACAACAATATTTAAAAGAAGACAAAAGGAGAAACAGTTGTTTTAGGATGTGTGGAAATGAGAAGGGAGCAAATTACCAGGAATAAAGATGTAGCCGATATGACGTTCCTTATTCCCATTTTCCCTTTATGGTCTGGCACCGAAATGTTTCTTAATTGGAAAATTACAACATTAATTTGTTTCTTGGTTAGCCATAATATCTCGGTACTGCTCAACTTGACTCCATGCGCACCTTAACTATTTTGGTAACTTAAGTATTCCTACTTTTTTTATCTTTTAACTAATAAATTTTCACAAATATAATGGACTTTTAAATTAGTAAAACACGTGACTGGTCAATTTAGTGCTTCCATTGTCCACGGTCTTTCACTAGAAAAAAAAAACAGCTAAACGATTGAAGTTTCGATAACTGAGAAAAGTGGAAAGAAAAAGAATGAGTTAATTGTCCTGGTACAATAATGAATTTGTACGAGTAACATTATCATATTGTAATTAGGGGTGTTCATAAAAATCCGAAAAATCGAACCAAACCGAAAACCAAACCAAACCTATCCTTTTCATTTGGTTTGATTTTTGTTTAGAATTTCAAAAACCTATCAAATTTGGTTTGGTTTTGATTTTAATAAAAAAATAACCGAAAAAATCGAACCAAACCGACTATAGAAGTAGCTATTTTAAATTTATTATTACACCTATATATATGTATATTTTTGTACAAAGTTTCTAAAATTTTATGGTATATGCTAATCGTTTGCACTTTTAGTAAAATTCTTTGCCTTTACATTCTAGTTTGATCGGTAGTTTTCTTTTGCTAAGTATAAGAATCCATTTCATGTTAAAATAATCTACTTTTAATTGAGTCCTTAAACTATTCATCACTATTTGATTCAATTATCATCAATATATCTTGGTAAATGATAGATTTCTCAAAGAGCAATTGATTTGATAGTGTTACATGGAATATGTAGTCGCCGAAATATGTGTTTGGTAGCTTGTGTCTCATGTTTAAGAAAAAACCGATAAATAACCGAAAAAACCGAAAAAACCGAAAAACCGACATGAACCGAAGCGATAAAAAACCGACTTAATTGGTTTGGTTTAGTTTTAATATTTGAAAGCCGACTTACTTGGTTTGGTTTCTTTTTATGGAAAAACCGATTCAAAAACCATAAACACCCCTAATTGTAACCATTTCGATTATTGAAGGGGAACCTTGGAGCAACGGTAAATTTATCCCGCGTGACCTAGGTCACGAGTTCGAGTCGTAAAAGCAGACACTAATGCTTGTGTCCGCATAGGCTGTCTACATCACACCCCTTAGATGTAACCTTTCCCCAATCCTGCGTGAACGCGGAATGCCTTGTATATCGGACTACACTTTCTTTTCATTTCGAATATTGGTGGTTCAAGCCATAAAGTGTAAAATTAAGCATACAACTTAGTTGAAGCAAATGATACATAGAAGTAAGAGTGAAGTACGATTGACAACTTTATTTACGTCCCTTAAAAAGACAACATACTTATATCAAAGCAAACACGATCTACGTATAATTTAACGGAAAAGAAAAATCATTTTTCCATTTTCTTCGTGCAGAATTGCTTCGACTCACTAAGCCCAAAATGTTTTAGGGATCATGAACTCAACAATAAACAAAGTGAATTACAAAATCAAAAGACAGTAATAATCGTTCATCTTTTTCTAATGTAAAGATATGAAGACAATAAAAGGAAAAAAGCTTCTAACTCAAAAAAGAAGGAACTATCTTTCCCATGTGCATATAGAACATAATGTTACTACTGACCACAGGTGTTTGTGGATCAGTTCGAATAAGAGGGGGGGAGGGTAACAACTATTTCCACATCTATACATCAAAACTTCACAAATTTAATTGCTACTACCCACTGAGGTGTTTTAGGCTCAGTTTGAATCCACTTATAAAAAAACAAAAACTACATCAATGTACTAATCTATGACCAATCAAAGCAAACATAGAACTGACTTTTATATAATTTTATTGAATTTATTATATCATATAGTAGGACTCATAGTCGCTTGGCTCACGAATGCAAGACTTAAAAATTGCCTAGTTACAATAAGGGCAGTGTTTTTGATAATAAAACATAACAGCAAATAACGATGTGTAGAAAAGTGCATTAACAACAACACAGCTATATATGATACTAGCCTGAGAAACCTTCTTTGCATATATGCACCTCCTAAAGCAAAACCAACGAAAGCCTTTTTTCCTTTTTTCCCCTCGTACAGCGTTGGAGGCTATATATGTAAAGGCAGGATAAAGGATGACCATCAGATTTGAAACCACAACCACTCTTCAATGCTCAACTTCCAAACCTACCAAAAGTTTAAGCAGCATTACAGATGCACCTGCAACAGATTGAAGCAACTCTAGTCACACCTACAAGAAGAATATATACAAAGCACAACAACAGAGGAGGCAAAGGAAACAAAGAAACACACTCAGGTAGGCAGCGGAACCAAATAGCCAGTAAAGGTTACCTGAAATGTTTGATTGAACGAACCCAAAAATTTCTGTAAATCGAAGGATGTTTTAGCTAAAAAGTCATCAAAGGAATTCATCATAAAAAGCCAGAGCCGCTATCTATTTGGATTTGGACCCTAAAGTAAACAACGAAATCAGAGGGAACTACAGTAATAACTTATGTCTAAATCCAGAATAGCATATAGTTTTAGATATGGATCAGATCATTATCAAAATTAAGACATTGCAGACATGTCAACTCTCCCTCTGCCTACTTATGAAGCTGATACTCAACATGTAGGATGCTGGCTTGTCACAGCTTTAATAATTCACAAGCTTTCCTGAACTAAACAAATATACACACGTATTTGATGCCAGAAAACCAATGTTTGGGGGTCAGACTCGCTGCATTTTATTGCATTGGTATTCCTCCAAACTTGCATAGCAAGACTAACACTAACCTATCCATAAGGGTTAAGGATTATAACTAAGCAAAGCAACATAACCATAATTGGGAAATAATGATGACACTATATAAACGAAATTGACAAGGATTAGAATAATTTTGTAAGGCAAAAAGAATTGTCTGTCAAAACTCTGATTCCTAAAAAATTTCATGCTTTGACATTTTGGAATATTACAGTGTTTGCGACTCATTTCATATGAAATTATTCGAGGGAAACCAATGAGATTATTTTTGAATAGCGTAACTAAAGATAACATCTAATAAGGTATAGAAACCATGATCATCAAATCATTTTCTAAGGCCACAAATCCAAATAAAAAATTCCAAGAATTTTGAGCTTCTCAGGGTTTTCATGCCTCTCATTCATTCATTAACTTGTTAATTCTTCAAGGACAAACTAATTTTTCAAGACATTCAATCAAATAAAGGAAGAAATCAAATAAACAATAAAGACGGGACCTCAATCCCAAACTAGTTGATATAGGTTATACGAATCTTCTAAACCCGTTACTATACTAGGAACTATTTCATTTTACAACACGATAATTGTCTACTATGTTAGAGCTACTCTAAAACCACGAATTATCAAAACGTCAAACCTATCTTGCCACTGTACAATCTTTTAAGAAACTAAAAAGACTCATGTCAAACACCAGACTTAATGTAAATATGCCTAGCAAATAATTGCTTACGATATTACAGCATTCCCCGGTTACTTTCAACCTTTATGGCATCCATATATTTTTTGTCATCATCCAATAGGCCAAGTGCATAATATGCATCTTTGAAAGTAAGATTGTTATAATTGTTGATTCTTTTTAGGATCCATAGCATATTGGACCTAATGACATTCAAGAATAATTTGAGATAATATTAGCTCGCTAGTTCCAAGCGAAATGAAGAAAAGCCTCCAACAAAAAATACAAAAGTTTTATTTCCTCTCAACGCTTCAATTTTTGTTCCACGCAAACTTAAGAGGAAATTCTACATAAGTTAATTCTCTTGCTTCAGGCAATATTTTATTTGCTCAAACCAGCTTAAAACTGTTGATTCCTTTACACTCAGTCTATTGGCAACATGATCAGAGAATAGAAAATATGACATGTTGTTCATCAGGATGATGAAATGCTAGTCGTTCCATAAGAGGTTCTCTATGGTGAAAGGAAAGCTGAATATTTGTCAAGTATCTTCACATAGTGATATATATCAATAATTATAATACACATTGATTTCATCACCATTTGATGAATTTTTTCATGTACACTTTGAGAAAAAAAGCAGTGACGCAATCATATCATTTATTAACATACTTAAACAAGCACTTAATCAATCTTGATTGATTGCATCATTCCACATTAATATAAGCACCATACTTTAATAATCAGAACCGATCCTACGGCACCACATACATGTTATCCAAGTCAATATCATCTTTTCCGATAGTTCTACCATTATCCGTCTTCTTTTATAAACAGAATACCCATCTTCATTAATTGTGATTTACTCAATAAACTTATTTGAAAGTGTTTTGTAAATCTCTCATTCTGCACTCAAAGAGAAGATTTTCTACAGAACAACATGTGTCATGCATCATGAAATTTTACACAATCTTATAATAATAAGGATCATGCAATTCATCTAGTATTTCTTTCGATATTACTCAAACAATATCTGCAACAAATTTATTATGCTCATGAAGAAAAAGCAAGATATGAGGCCCTCTACAAATCTACGAGTCCCGAGACACTTTGGGTTGCAAGTAAACATGATGAAAGGATTAGGGGATCCAACCCATTTGCATATTGCCAAAGAATCTTGATATTTTTTAAGCATATTCCATGCACCCATGTGAAGCTGACTGGTAAAATTATCCTTGAGAAAAAAGATTAATTTTCCATGTAAAACTACTCAGCTAACCTTTAAACATGTGATCTCTCAACTGTTTTTGATAAATCCTAATATACCTCAGATGAGAAGATTCAATAATTGTATATGCATAAACCAAGAATTGCTCAAATAATCTTCTGGAACACACAATCATTGGAACTTTATCCTACCTTTCTTGAATTCTGTAAGCAAATTATTCTCGCATGTTAACACATTGTTTTTCTCGAATTGATTCATCATCTCCCTCTAAAGGAATGTTCTCTTTGTAGCAATCTTCACCATATAGAAAAAGTAAAGGATATTGCGGACTTAAATAGGCACCGTTCAATTCATTTATCCTTTGCAAAATTATTATTTAGGAATGATAAAATACTAACTTCATAGCATCAATTCTATTTTCCACTTCATTTTTATATCGTACATATATAATTATGCAAACTCAGGTGGATCCCTCGGGGGGGGGGGGGGGGGGGCAATAAACTTCCAACTTAATAATAATTCTACCCAGACACAACTTGAATGTTTTTGGTCCCTATGTTTGATGACATAAACATCAACTTTTCCCCGCATTGATGTAAATGAAAATATGGAATTATAACTCTTAATATTCTCTTGAAAATGGTCAATTTTGGGACCAACATAAAATAAGAGTTGGAGAATGATGAAATATATATGAAATGTGGATATTTTTTTCATAAAACAAAATAGATGTTTCCTCTAGCCCAATCCAAACAACATGAATTGCTACATCTACAATAAATTAAATGAGATACTTTAGTCAAATAATTTAATTTCTAGCAAGTAATTTTTTTATGAACCAGAAGTAATTTCTAGTTGCATTTATGGTTTATGTTGTCTGGAATCATGACTATAGTCTGAAGTGACTTAATTCCTTGTGTTATTGTTTTAAATTGACAATTAAATTTTTTATTCATTCACTTAACTTACATAAAACATTAACAAATTCGTTCTCATCATTATTTATATAATATAGCAGCATAAAAGTTCAAAAGTAGTTCTCGGATATTTATAAATTTTTTAATAACTTTCATACTATCAACTCAATACAATAACACAAGGAATTAAGTCTTCAGATTATAATCATGATTTCAGAACACAAAAACAAAAAATACAACTAAAAGTTAGTTCTATTTCATACCAAAAACTACTTGCTAGATATTAAGTTATGGATTTGACTGAATTGCCTCATTTAAAGTCTCGTCAATGCACCTATTCCTGTTGTTTGGATCGGGCTAAGAAAACATATTTTAAAACTTATTAAAAGAGTATTCGCATTCACATATAGCTTATTATTCTCCAACTCTTATTTTACGCATGTCCTAAAAGTGACCATTTTCAATAGAATATTAGAAGTTATAATTCTATGTTCTCATTTACATAACAATGGGAAAGGTTGATGTCTCTATCAATCAAACACGGGAACCAAGAATATTCAAATTGTTTGGGCAGAATTATCATCAAATTGAAAGTTTATTGTCACCTGTGGGATCCACCCCAAAGTTTGTGCAAAGAATGAAGATGAAAAATAAAATTCATGTTGTGAGGATAGTATTTTATCATTCATGAATAATAATGTGTAAATAAGATTTTAAATCAAAAGACAGTGATATTAATTTCATAAAAAAATTTCTTCGCAATTGTGGTCAAATCATTAAAAAAACTTCATAAGATTGTTGAAGATCTGAAGCAAATGTTTGATAGCCGCAATATCTTGGCCAAGACATTTAGAATGGTAAGTAATAGATTTCAAGAAAAGATAAGCTCCAATATTAGACTTAAGATTGATAGGGAAAAGGGGCACTGACAGAAGAATATACAACTTACCGACGGTTTTTGAGGTTATTGCGTTGGTGGCGAGAGGATTTGAACTATCTAGATGACAAAAATATAATTATTGAAACCCAAAGGATAAATTAGGTCGGCAATATCCTTTACTTTTTTCGTATGGTGAAAATGGCCACAGAGAGGATATTAATTCCTTCAACAAAGATAATGAATCAATTAAAGGAAGACAATGTATCAGCATGCAAGAATATTTTCTTTACAAACTTTAAGAAAGAAAGGTTGAATTCCAACGATTTTGTTCTCCAAAAGATTATTTCAGCAATTCTTGGTTGATGCATATACAATGATCAGATCTTCTCAATTGTGGTTATTAGGATTCATCAAAAACAGTTGAGGGCTCACATGTATAAAGGGTTAGCAGATGCAGTTTTGCATAGAGAAATTAATCCTTCTCAAGGAAATGATAATTCTCTTGTCCAACTTTACATTGGGTGCACAATACATGCTTCAAAATTATCAAGATGCTATGGCAATATGCAAACAGACAAGTACCCTAATTATTTCATCACATTTACTTGCAACCCAAAGTGGATTATGATCCGTAGATTTATAAAGAGTAGGGTCTTAAATTATAGGATCGTCTAGACATTTTAATTAGGGCTTTCAAAATCAAATTAGATCGCTTAATAAAGGACTTGCAAGACAATTAGTTTTGGGAAAGTAAAAGCAGGTATACAATTCAACTTCTAAAATAATAATCAATTTTTTATTTTACATAAGCTAATGTTTTTAAAATATAGATTCAACCTAAGTTGCTCGGATACGGGTGCGGGTGTCCGACACGTGTGCGGATCTAGAGGTCGGATCCTTCGAGATGTAAATTCTAAGATTCAGGAATATGGATCCTAGTACGGATACGGGTGCGGGGATCTAGCTAAAAATAATTCAAAAATATAAAAATGTCTCTAAAATGAGAATTTTTGTGGCAAACTTATGTATAGCTTGTAAAGTGTAGATTTTTTTTTAATCTCAAGTTGTAGATAAGTAAAGGATTGATTTCCTAGATAAGGTATGCTGTTTTCTTCAAATTTACCCTAGTTTTGGTTCTGATTTCTGGAATCAAATTGTATCTCGTCTCGAATTTTTCCGTCCATCATGGTCAAAGTACCCAAAATCGTTTAACCATATCCGGTACGGATCCTATACCCACACCCATACTAGTGTCGTGTCGACACGGGTGCGGCACATAAACTGCCGTGTCGGAGCAACTTAGGATTCAACTATTTATTTATCTAATAAATTCTTTTCGGTGCAATGATTCCAAAAACGAGGGCCGCCTCATGCTCAGATCTTGTTTTTCCTTCATTAGCATAATCAATATCTCACTGCTGAAGATATTGAATGAATAATTTCAGAAGAAATACTAGATGAATTGGATGATCCTTATTATTATAAGGCTGTGCAAAATTTCATGATGCATGGCCCATGTGGTTCTACTAGAAGTCTTCTCACTGCATGCAGAATAAGAGATGTACAAAGCACTTTTCACAAAAGTTTGTTAAGTCGGCCACAATTTATGAAGATGGTTATCCTGTTTATAAAAGAAAAGATAGTGGTAAAGATGGTATTGACTTGGATAGCAGGTATGTGGTGCCGCACAACCGATTTTTATTATCAAAGTATGATGCACGTATTAATATGGAATGGTGCAATCAATCAAGATCCATTAAGTACTATTTAAGTATGTTAATAAAGGACATGATTGTGTCACCGCTATTTTTTCTCAAAGTGAACATGAGGAAGATTAATCAAATATTGATGAAATCAATATGTATTATGATTGTCGATATATATCACCATGTAAAGTTGTTTGAGAAAACTTTTTGTGGTAAGATTAGCATTTTATCTTTCAAATGAACGGAATATCATATTCTCTGATGATGATGCAATTGATGATTAAAGGAATCAAAGTTTTAAGTTAGTTTGAGGCAAATAAGACATTGCCTACAACAGAAGAATTAACTTATGCAGAATTCTCTTTAAGTTTGTGTGGAAACAAAAATTGAAAAGATGGAGAAGAGAAACTTCTGCATTTTCTATTGGGAGGATTTTTCTTTGTTTCGCCGGGAATTGACGAGCTATATTATCTCAGATTACCGGTGTATGCCATTAAAGGTCCAACATGTTATGAGGACCTTAAAAAGTCAACAATTATGACCATCCCACTTTTAGAAATACATGTTATGCACTTGGCTTATTGGATGATGACAAAGAATATGTGGATACAATAGAAGAAGCAAGTACTCCAAAATGACATCGCATCTTAGGCAATTATTTGTTGTGTTGTTGTTATCAAATACTAGACCTAAATATAAATATGTCTAATGTATAACTATATTTGCATGTATTCCATGAAAAAGTAGGGCTTCTAAGACTTCGCTCCTAGTGATTTTAGGTATACTTGTCCTAATTTAACATCTTCAAACATCACAGTGTCACACCTACATGCTAGTGCATTGGAAGGTCAACATAGAACATGCATAAACATTCCCAAGCAAATGTCTCATATTTATTCTCCACCTGATACCTCACCCCATGTCGTATGTGATCACTTCTGATCTCGTCTAACTTTGTATCACAGTACACCCACCTTAAAATCCACATTTATACAACACTTTTCTCATGGATATGTTGGGACTTTAATACGCTCCTATATAACATAGTTTGTCTCTCAACTGTTCTATAAAACTTGCCACTCACTTTGGTAGTTTGGTAGGTATGTTCCTGCTGTGTAACACTCCATTTCAGAAATCCTATTTTAAATTTACGTGCTACATCTTCATTTTTCCTGCCATTCTCCTAAAAAACATAGCCAAGATATGTGACCTTATAGTTCAAGTTCTTGGTCAGCTCCTTCATTGGTTTCCTCATAAACTTAGGGCAAACACTCCTCAACTTCATAATAGCTGCAAGGTAATCAAGCTAAGTCAATCTTTCTAAAGGTTCTTATAAATAACATAAAGAACTCAGACGAGAGTTGGAAATTTTCACACAACTAGGGAACTCATCAATAAGATAAGATAAGACTTTCCATTTTTGTAGTGAATCACCAACCTGCTATTGTCTTTGTCAATTGGATAAATATGCAGGCAATATAGTGAGGAAAGGGGAAACAAAAGCAAAAGCAAATTATTTTGATAGTTACCCATCATTAACTGGAAAACCAATATATTTTCCATCTTGATTCCATTTTAAGAACCATGATAGCAAATCATAGACAAAGAGCACATATAAATAATCCATCCAATCAAAAACATAAAAGAAGAAAAGAAGAAGCAAGAGAGAAAGGCGACCCATTCACGTAATTTTTTTCAAAGTCGCTTTAGAACATAAAATTGACTTCATGAATTCAAGCTGGCTCTCTTAGCTAGCTGCTGATCTCTATCATGCATCTTTCTCAAGTTTATTAGACTAAAAAGAGAGATGGGAAAGACCAGAAAGATGGAGGTAGCAACAATGCTTTTTCCAGCATAGCGTGACACGCTAAGGGAGGGAAGTAATCTAGCTTGAGCATTTAATCAGAAAGAATTATTTCCTCTCCTTCCTGTTTATAGCTGGGAATCATCTTCAATGAAAAAACAGTTATTTATATTTTGTAATTCTGAACTTTCATGAAAAGATGTATGCATACTACAGATGATACAATATTTTTCCTGTGAAATGGTACATTAAGCACTTTTATTAATAGAAACAGCCAATAAAGCAATCAGCAATAAACTAGATAAGGAGCTCAATCTTTCAATTAATTTGCTGATTTGGACAAGTTAAGGAGCTCAATAAACAAACTTAGCAATAGAGCAGTGCTTGTGCCCTGGTACTTCCAGCATTAATTCACCTGGAACCAAAGGTTCCAGGTAAAAGTTCAAGGTAAAATCAACTGCCGGAATTTGACTTGCTAGATTATGCACTAGGTAATTGAGATAACAAGTCTAATTATAAACTTATTATGTAACAAGTATAATTTATTTAACAACCATAACAACATCTACTGTTAATATGCTAAATGTTTCAAAAGAAAATAAAAAGATACATCGAAAAGAGACCAAAGATGCAATCAAAGCCTAAGATGAAGTAAGCAACATAATTGAACCACTGAATAATCTGATAAACTAACCGCTGGAATATGAAATTTGCTTCTTATCATCCTAGAGAGAGCCCGGAAAATAGCAATTCCAGCTCCTCATCCTGTGAAGTGGTTCTCTGCATAAAATGTGAGATAATAAAAACATGAAAACCCCATATGTTTAAAAAAACATAAAGCCATAAGAAATCTATGATACACTTATAAGATACAACATCCACTAGCAAGGAGTCAAGTGACTGTAGAGATACATGTTTTCTTCCTCCTAAAAATAAACTTGCTCTTGTACAAATCATGATTGTGAAACATGAAAGACCAGAAAACAACAGAGCAATTCTATACCGGTTTCTCCAACAATTACCCTATAAACAAATAGTGCTAGCGTTGTATGCCCACCGAATAACTGCTTGACTAGAACTGACCACTGATCAGACAATGTGCCAAAATTTTCACGTGGGCAAAAAGGAACACAACCACAAGCAGATATACATATTGGGTCTGGTATGAACTTCAATCAAACCAATTCTTCTCTGATAGGAGCTGAAAGGGTGATATCCTTTAGGTGAGTATGTTAAAGGAAGAGGAGAACACAAATAGGCCAATCTGTTTTGAAGGATCAAGAGGATTCCTAAAACGAGCAAGAGACTATCTCTATTATATGAGGCAAAATCCATACTTGTTCAGGAAAATTTACTTTTCCTTCGTGCATAAACTACTATTAATCTGCGGTGGTAGCAAATTCATACTGTTTTTTTGAATACACAAAATCGAGTTAGCAATTTTTAATGGTAATCAACTGATATAGAGCAGAATTCATTCAGGAAATATCTCTTTCTATTGCCTTGAATTTACCCAAAATTGTAAGAAGATCCAAATGCCAAGAATCCGACAACTTTAGGTGATACTTAGGCATGGAGCACACTAAGAAAGTAAATGGCAAGGCATTTTCCCCATACACGAAGTCTCAGCCCTCTAAGTATTTTCTGCTGAATAAATCCATAAGATAGCAGTAGAAGTCACTAATAAGCCATGCTGAAGACCATATATCAAATGCCTGAGACACTCCAGATAAATGACAATAGGCCGTGATCAGTGAATTCAACCCTGGATAGTGTAGCATTGCAGAAATGAAACATCAAGCAAGACATGAGATGTGCTCGAATAAGAAGTTTAAACAAGTCTCCTTTTCCCATAGTGTACAACAGTAAAGTAAGACTACTATAAAACAAGAGAAAGAGATCTCAGTAACCATATATCCTAGACATGCATATGCCCCACCCCCATCCCCCATCCCATTTCTTGGGGGGAGGGGGGGGAGGGGTTTGGGTGTATGCACCATGTACCTGAATAGAAAGAAGTTGCAGGATTTTGTTTAGGACACGCATCCGATGAGTGGCATATGCACTGCTAGGTGGAAGTCTGCTCATTCTCTTCATTTCTTCATGAACTGCTTCCCTTTTCTCTTCAGACCCCATCTGCTTCAGTGAATCTTTAGAAGACTGGGTGCTAGGGAGGCCACCTTTGGGGTGATTTAGGGCAATATTGTGATTAACTTGATAGAAATGATCCATTGAACCACCTATAGATAAAAAGAAAGATTAATGCAAGGATAAATCAGAACCTCAAAAGAGAATATTGAAGAAGGCAAAGTTTCACCCCTCTATGCTGGCTGCCTAAGATGCCTATATATGTACAGAACAGAGACAGCAAACGCACTTTAACATACCACGCTACTGAGGTTTTGATATTACACATCAACTAGCTATAATTTTAAGAAAACAACTACTATGCATCAGTTCTAAACGAGTTGAGATCGGCTATATGAATCCTCATCCCATGTTACTCCATATAAACTTAACTCGGGCCAATATTATCCAAAATAAAAAGTAGTAGAAGTTCATTATAGTTTTAACTGATGTATAAATCTCTGACAGCCATTGTTACTGTTTGTTTATTGTGTCTTTTTCATCGTTCTTGAGCCAGGGGTCTATAAGGTCTGCGTACACATTACCCTCCCCATACCCCACGTGTGGGATTGCACTGGGTTTGTTGTTGTTGATGTATAAATCTCTGACGGCTAAACAACCCCTAGAAAAGCATAGGACGTAAAGTAAAAGTGCTAACATGACTAAAACACATTCTTAACTAATAGGTGTCGTCTATATAGATCTTTTCTTCGTGCACTACATTTTGCAAAATCAGCATGGATTCCAAGAGATGGTAGGTCATTCGAGACAACTTACTTCTAAGTAATTTTAGGTCTACCTTGGTCATTTTTATCACCTTCACACTCACCATGATTTCTATCTATAGACCGGTGCATGTAGCAGTCGATGCAGAACATGATCAAACCATCTCATGCGACCTTTTCTTATTTTATCCTTGATGTGTACCTACTTAAACCTTCTCGCGAATGTGGTCATTTCTACTACTGCTTAGTCTCACATAATCACACATCCATGTTAGCATTCATTCGCATCTCTGTAACACTCATTTTGTGGATGTGATGGACTTTAAAGGCCAAAGATTCACTCTCATATAATATTGTTAGTCTTATACTATTTTATAGAACTTATCTTTCCTTTGGCATCATTTTATCACATAACACCCTGGTAGAACAACTCCATTTCAACCATTCGATTTTGATCTATGTAAAACATGTTCATCTATCATTTTACTCACTTAAAACAACGAGCCTAAATATCTAAATGTTTATATTTAGGAACCGCAATCCCGTCTAATCTAACCTCGACTTTGCTATTATGTTGACTAAACTTGCAGTGCATATATTCAATCTTACTTTTGCTTATCATAAACCCTTTACTCTCTATAGTGCTTCTCCATAATTCAAGCTTTTGGTTGACACTTTTACTGGTATTGTCAATTAGCACTATATGTCAGCAAATAGCATACATAATGGCACCTCATCTCGTACAGTGTTGGGTTAGCTCGTCCATAACAAGGGTAAACAAGTATGACCTCAATGGCGACCCCTAGTGTAAATCCACGGTTATGTGAAACTCCTTTTTATCTACTATTATTCTCACACTAGTGAAAACTCTTTTATACATGTCCTTTATGACATTTATAAATTTAATATAAGTTTCTTTCTTCTACAACACCCACCAAAGGACCTTTCTAGGTACTCTATCACATGATTTCTCTAGGTCAATGATTACCATGTATAGATCTTTCTTCCTCTCATAATAAACTTCCATCAATCTCCTTAGCAAAAATATAGCCTCTATTGTGGAACAACCACGCATAAATCCAAACTGGTTCTCTATCACTCTTGTAGTGTCCCTAAGTCTACGCTCTATCACTCTTCAAAAACTTGAAAGCTAAAAACATTCTGCCTTCATTTACATTGGTTGCATTTATTCTTCTATTATATACAACATAAGAAAGAAAAACCAGAGAAAAAGTAGGTCGTGTAAATGTATGACTAAAAGGAAATAACTAAATACACAAACATAGTCAGAGGTACCATTAAAATTGAATATAACCTTCAATACAATTGATTAATCTGTTAAACTCAATCTCCTAAACTGATAAATAGAAAACTTGAATTTTGATAAATTGTGGTTACGCAGAGAACTATGATACACAAATACAACATATGTCTGATAAGTAGGCAACCATCCATATTTCAATTTTACCCCTTCAATACTTCCATTCATTCAAAATTCGAAATATTACCAAAGAAAATAGAATTTCAGAGAACAAGTTTAAATACCTGTACAAAACTAAACTGCAGCAATACACGAGAAAACAATGGATACGGAGACCTCTTCTGCAGAATTTCTTGTGGACGCAAAAATAGTACGAAACTCACTATCGTCTCTAACTGCCGATCGCAAAACCTATGTTTGCAGACTTCTTAGTAGGGACGGTATCTAGAATCCACAATTAACGATATCTCTGCTTATAAAGCAGAGATTCCCTGGAGATTTGTACTTGCAAGAAAACGCTGAAGAGAATGTGACATTGAGCCCTTTAGAATTGGTATTATCTCATACATACCCCTTATTTTGTGACCAAAACATATTGGATTGATCAATTCCAGGAGAGTGTGATAAAAATGGTCCTTTATGTTTGGGGTAGGTTTAAAATAATCCCTTAAAAACTTTGAGAAGTTTTAGCTAGCGTTTGGCCATAGATCTCAAATTTATTTTGAAAAATCTGATTTGGGTGAAGTTTGGTTTGAAGATGAAAATGTGTTTGGACATACGTTTTCAAAACATATTTTCCAACTTTATTTTGAAAAAACCGGTATATAATTCCTAATTTTTGGGATTTTGGCCCAAATTCAGCTCAATAGCTGATTTTGGAATTTGAAATTTTTGACTTGGGATTTGGCCAAAATATGAGCAAAATTTATGGCCAAACATGAATTTTGAAAATAAATCTCAAATTTATTTTGACAAAACTTATGGCCAAACGGGACCTTAATCCTTAACTTTTGCAAAAGTGAGTATTTTTTGCCTCTGTCAAATATGTAATAAGGCCGTGAAAAAAATTTAATAGCAACTCATATTTAAAGATGCAGTTTTTGTCTAATTTTAGTGCACAGTATAGTTTCTTGAGGTGCAATTTCAGCAATTTTTGGTCTATTTTTATGTCAAGTGCACTTTTGGTGTTGCAATTTTAGAATTTGATGGAACCTTTTTGGTTTTTTTTCATAATTATCGTTAAATTTAACATACAAAGTTTATTAAAATATTCCATAAAGACCAAAAAACAAAAATTGCATAGAAATATATTTAAAGAACGGAAAGGGGCCATATGTCCCTCTACTATCTAAATAAATCATATGTGTCCCTCGCTATACTATTCAATTAAAAAAGTCCCTATTGTTTGTACCCATTAAAATGTCCCTCCATCGTCTACTCCTAAATTTAAAATAAAAATATCCACTTGTCAGTCTTTTATTGGATGAATTAAACCCATCCCTTATTTTTTAATTAACCCACCGACCCGGCTCATTTTATCCCACCCACCCGATCTATCAATTAAAAAAGACGCCAAAACACATCGGTCTCTCATTTCCTTCCTTCAACCAACGAGACCAAATTAGGGTTCTTCAAGAAAGTTTACTCTTAGTCGAGGGCTACTCCAATTTCTTTCATTATCAGTTATTTGATCTTATTAGGCTGTAAATATTATCCAAAAAGGTGGTTTGGCATGTCAGAAAATAGTTATTCATCCAAAAAGAAGTGCCACCGTGGAGAATTTGCTAACCACTTCACTTCGACTACTCTTTTTAACCCTGGACGGAGATTCTACAAGTGTCCAAAACCAGAAGTAAGTGATTATTATTAAATTTTGTCATGTTTGAAATTTTTTATAGTTTAATGAATTGTCTCCCTTTGATTTGTTTGAATTGTATTTTGATGTTATAGGATGCTTCATGTGGTTATTGGGAATGGTCAGATGATCCTATTCCCGATAGAGCGCTCGTTGTAATCAACAATTTAAGGTCTCAGTTGGATGCGGCAAATGTTAAAATCAGTACTTTGAAGTCCTCGTTGGACAATGTTAACATTGAAAAGGAGTAAATGATCGCCGTGAAGGCAAGAAACCATGTTCAAGTGACTAAATTAGAAGAGAAAATCCTCAAGATAAAGATTTTCATTATCATTTTATGTACCCTTTTGTTGAAATTTTAGTCGCTAGGGTAATGAATTGAATTTTAGCTGCTAGGGTATTGTTGGAATTTTGTTGGAATTATGTAGGCTCATATATCAGATGAGTTCACTTTTGTTTAGACTACTTCAAATCTCGTAACCTTGATGTTTTAAGTTGATGTTTAAGTTCTAATATTAATTGCTCTTGTTGGTTCTACTATAGATTTAAGTTGCTCCATGTTTAAGTTGAAGTTTTAAGTTGGTCTTGATGTTTTAATTTGAAGTTTAAGATTCTACATATTAATTGGTTGTTCATATAGTAAGTCTCAAACTGCAGACTGAACAAACTGCACAAACTGCAAATTCAATATTAACACAAACAACATATTCAACAAACTGCACAAATTGCAGATTCAATAAGTGCATAAACTGCACACACTACAGATTCAACAAACTCTGCACGTACTGCACATGAAATAAAATCTGCAGATTCAACATACTGCAGATACTGAATATTTAACATTAGCTGCAAACAACAGATTCAACATAGTGAACATATTGCAGATTAACTGCAAAACTGCTGATTCAAAACTAAAACAGCAAATTTAGCTAGTAACTGCATATTTTATTATACAAAATAAATTCAAATTTGTAGAGACATGGATGCCGTATTATACCCTCTAAAAACTGGCACAAACATGGTGATAATATGACACCCAACCCAACATTCAGTAAGAAGTCTTAACAAAACATATAATAGGAAATGTACTGTCACATGGCAGTAATTACAACCCAACAAACTACACAAAAAATAGCCTATTTAATTCTATTACAATAGACTTCAGTTGCTTCCCCTTCTTGGCTTCAGCTTATCCACTTTCTTTTTTGCTTTGCATCTCCAGCTGGCTTCCAGCTACAACACTTTTTCCCTTCAATTTGAGGCCTGGTGGTTTGAAAGGAAGTAATGATGGAAGACTAATACCATTTGTATCACCAGTGAATGAAATTACCCTTACACTTGAAGTTTGAGGTAGTTTTTGCCTTTGCAGAAGTCTTGTTTTAGATTCTGACACAGTTGGCCTTGTAACTACATCTAGATCAAGTTCAGGTTGGTCAAAGTCAGGGAATGGACTGTTTGATTGGCTGTGCACTGATGATGTAGGCATGAACACAAAATTTGAGCCTTGAACACTCGACTGACTTGCTTGACTAGATTGGGTTGTTGTTAGGTGTATTTCTTCTTCTGATCGTTGCCCCTCACTTTCATCTTCATCAACTAGATGTCTAGCATTTTTCCTTGCCCTTTTTGCCATAGGTGGCTATTGTTAACAAATAAAAACAATTAGATAAAGTAAATGTTAATGTTGTTAACGAGTAAAATAAGTTAGATAAGCTGGAGGTGTTACCTTCTCACAACTCCTTGCATTATGATTTGGCTCTCCACAGTTGGTGCAAGTCATTACTCTCCCTTTTCTTGAAGCTGCCCATTCACCTTGCCTTTTGATTGCCTCATCTTTCTGTCTGGTTCTCTTGATTTTAGGCCTCCCGGCCATCTTGACTAACTCAGGTGGTTCCATTGCTTCCGATGGATCTACCTTCCAGAATTTTTCACCCCTAACTGGCTGCAACTTGTACTTGTAGGTAAGCAGATATGCTTCTTTGTTGTACCATCAGTTGATTTCATTCATGTCTCCAACTTTTTGTATTGCAGGGATTTAATTGCATGTGGGCATGGGATTCCAGTAAGATCTCATCCCCTACACGTGCATTTTTTCACCACCATGTTTACAGTGTGCTTATCTGTCCCTTTTGCATATCTGACATAAAGGTAATTCCCTCACCCTCTTTGAAATCCAATGACCTTTGAATCAATTCAAAGAACCAGGTCCAAGTCCTTTTAGTTTCTTTATCGACAACTGCCCATGTTATTGGATAAGCCTGATTATTGGCATCTAGAGCTACAACAAGTAATAGTTGACATTTTGCTTTTCCTTTCAAAAAGGTACCATCTAAGCCAATAAATAGTCTCAGTCCTTCTCTAAAACCCATCTTCAATACTTGGAAGCAAGTATACATTCTCAAGAATTTTCTTTTACCTTGAGCAAGAGCATCCTTTGACAAATTAATGACTACATCACTGCCTGGATTACTTACTCTAAGCTCATTGGCATATGCCTCAAGTCTATTGTAATCATCTGTGAAGATACCATCCAGTTTCTCTAAAATCAGCCTCTTAGCCCTCTTGCACTTTTCATAACTAACATTAACATTGAATGTGTTTTTCATTTCTACTCTCATCTCTTTTATCTTAAACTTTGGGTTATCTTGCACCTTGTTCTTGAAGTAATTTGCTATTGTATAATAATCAACCCTAGAATTGTCAAATACTTCATCACATGTATGTTTTGCTTTTAAGGTCTTTACCCTAATCCCAGGAAGGTCCCCATCTGGAGCAACATGAACAACAAAGGGGCAGTCAAATACACATCTATACCTTAGCCTTTTTGGAGAACTTTTCTTTAACTTGAGCTCCTTTTTGTTTGCTAAGGCATAGAGGTTAAAATATTTTCTTGCTTCAGGTATATCCTTGATGCTCATACCTTATACAATTCCTTATAATTATCCAAACCTGGCATAATCTCTCTTTTCTTTTGATTAGAAAATGTTTGTAATTCATCACTATCATACTCTACCTCTCCAGAATTAGAATCAGATTCAGATTCAAAATCACTACAATCAGTACCAACTTCATTTAATACGGGATAAGACTCAGAATGATGGACTATGTTAGTCACATTAATGGACTGCTCACACACATCTACAGCATAGAAATGAAGAGTCTTGAATTCATCAGAGATTAGACACAACATATGTCTTATACCAGCATCATTCTCAATCTCATAATAATTACCAGATGGACGATTCATAATTAGTTGTTGAACACCTACATCTCCTAACTCATTAATGTATAAATCTACTAGATATTTGTACGATAGAAGTTCAGAATCATAACCTCTCTTGATATGTGACAACTTCTTTGAATACAAGACATGTGGGCTTGTGATCCAGTCCCCACCATAATGCAAGATTAGATCCACCAATGACATCCTTGATATTCTGTAAAGGTAACAATAAAGAATCATAAATGGGGACAACAAAAATTTAAATAACATGAACAATACTAATAAAGAACAATAACTAAGCAATTAAAAAAATTAGAATTATAAAGCATGTATGGATTTAGGGGAACACAATCAACATGTAACAACTAGGGGACCATAAATAATTTAAATAGTAAAGGCCCACTAGCACTAAAATATTCACAGATTTCAGTTGTGAGGGAACAACATTCAACACACCCAGCACAGACATATGCCAGACAAGAAAACGACTAAAAGGAACAATTGAAACCCTACATTCTCATATCTCACCAAC